GTGCAGCGTAAATCTCAATTGCTGGTTGCATAACTTTGAACTTCAGAATTTATTTGTTATTGTGTAAATCTGCCACAATCCTTATTTTGCTGTTTACAAAGCTCTCTTTGTAAGAAGTGTAATAAGATAATGTTCTGGTTCTCAATACCTTGCTATGTTACATGTTGATTTTACAGACATTATGTGTACTTTTGTTTGACCTGCTGTGTAGTTTATTTGTCTACATTATGCCAAGATTTTACGCAATATTCAGTTCGCTTTTTACAGAGATTTTATTGAGATTATGTCTTACAGCTTTCGCACTCGTTCCTTTTGTACAGGCTGATTTTACAGAGAAAATGTGGACGTTTTGCAGAGATTTATACTAATAAAATGCTTACATTTTACAGACATTATGCGTACTTTTGTGTGACATTGTGTGTAGTTTATTTGTGTAGATTTTAGTAACATTTTATGATATCATTTTAACTCAAATTTTACAGATATATTCTGGAGATTTTATGTTTTCAATTGTACAGAGATTTTCTCTCCTGCCCTTTTTACAGAGAAAATGTGGACATTTTACAGAGATTTCTTTAAATGCCATAAAATCTCTAAATTTTACAAAACATTTACAAGAAAAATAGCTACATTTCGTGGACATTTTATGCGATCTGAAAGCGAAACATTTACCACAATCTACAGACTTTTTATAGAGATGACAAAATCTCTGTAAGTGTGCAAATTTACAGACATTGTAATTTACAAAGGAAATGTTGACATTTTACAGAGATTTAACGAACTTTCGTAAAGTCTGTAAATGGTTCAAATTTTCCAGTGAGTTTGCACAATAATTTCTGGATAGAAGAGTGCATCCATGTTTGTTTCTGGATTCAATATTAATCTTCAAGTGGCTGTTAGCATACAGTTGTATAAAGAGTTGTGTAATAGAACTTCCAACGACTCACGTGAAGAGTATACAGTACAGGTTTATCAGCTGGAACTTGATAAAAAGTCATTGCTACATGACAAGCATCAAAATTATGTCTAAAGGAGTGTTCCACATTGCTCAGTGTGCTTCACTCTCGTTTACCAGGTTCTTATGCTCACATGACCTGGTACAGATGTCTCTCATTGTAGGTGTTATAACTGTTTTGCCAAACCCAATACTACTTTGATCGGGACAGTACGTGGGTCAGTTTACTGTTATTTTCTCGATGGACGCCATACTAGCAGTGAACGTACGTCCACCATCCATTGTCACTTGGTCAGCTTCTCCTTTCCCGATCTTATGGATGTTATAAACGTTGTTCACACCAAATTTGCATTCTGCGTTAAGACTGTCAATTTGATAGAATTTAAAGTTAACTGGAAACTTTGCAACAAGTTTTTCAAATGTTTGCGTCATCTCTCTGCATTTAGTCATTTCTGCTTCAGTAGCGCACCAAGTCATGTTCAGAAACGTCGCTGCTAGAAAACAAAACGGGACAGAAATTAGAAGTTTTCTACAAATCATAAGATTCAGTTGAACCGTTTCAAACTTAAGAAGGAGTGTCACAGAGACCGGGATATGAAGGGCATAAGACCGGGCCCAAGAATAGCATTTGATCCGCTTGAGCGGTAGACATCGTACGCACGGTGGGGCGTGCGCACGGCGACGACGACGGAGTTGCGCAACATGGCGGCCATACTCCAGGTAAAAGGTTGGCAGAAACATGCAATCTTTGTTTATTTAAGAAATAGAAAACATGTACCATGTTTCTACCGAGTTAGAGAAACCCGAGTGGAAGTTTGGGAAAACGAGAAATGCTGTGGGAACACGCGCCGCAGGCGAGTGTTTCCACAGCTTTTTCGAGTTCTCCCAAACTTTCACGAGTGTTCCTTTAACTCGACAGAAAGACGGAGAACATGTTTTCTATTTCTTTTAGAAATCACCGCAACGAAAAAAAAGGAAAACAACTTGTTTACTCTGATCATCAAAATGTAAATTGTATACGCCATCATTACGTCAACAGCTCTTCCTACTTCTGTGTTTCTAGCGAGTATTAGTATAAATCTACCAGCAGTCTATCACGAATGTCGTTCTCTGGTTACGCTACTCTGGTGAGTAGCGTAGCATTGTGTCCTTGTTAACAAAATAACGGCCCCTTCTTGGCGTTTTCGAAGTGCCTGTGAAGAAGATTTAGATAAAGTTTGAACGAGTAGTAGATTCATACTAAAACAATTAGATCATTCACTGTCAATTTCTATGCGTGATAGTTGATTCGGGCTGCACCCTCGTCGACTATCACGTGATAGAAATCGAAAGCGAATAATCTAGTTGTTTAATGAAAACACGATTTTTAACCAATCAGCGAGCGTATTCTCTTAGGGCTGTTTTCTAAATCAATATATTTCATTTTGGACATCAATGCTATGGTCATTTGACACCTGTCAAAACAACGTTTCCGCTGCCCAGTATCACGAGACCATATCGTGGGTTCAAGTTTAGAGCTCATCAGTATTCTTCCTCACTGGCAGTTCAAAACAATTTTGGGATTTTTTGGTGATTAATAAAAAAAAAGGATACTGCTTAAACATTGTCAATAACAGATTATGGTTTCTTCAAGATGTTTTCAAGAATATTTTTAGCCTTAAGAATATTAAGCCTCAGCCGGAAAACAATATTCTTATAAAATAGAGTTTAAATGAATTATTATATGACGGAGAAAATCACTTCATTGTGATTGGCTGAGAGCAGGCCAATTTTCATTTCGTTAATTTTTAATTTGTACTGCAGTGAACACTAGCTTGAACAAGTGACAAGTCATCATCTTGGGCAAAAGCTAAAATTAAAAGAGAAAGCGTCGACACAAAATGCCACGTGATATGGGGTACTAAATTCCTCGATTAACAATAATTTTGGGAATGGTCCGTGCGTACTGAAAACCAGCCTTTTTCTTGCATTTAGATAAGCAGTGATACCGGACAGGATTCCAGTTGGTACTCGGCATTTTTAATGCTGCCATCTATCTTAAACGTTGTGAAAGCTAAAATCAGCTATGAACGGCAGAACTCAAACTCATTCTTTACTTTTATTTAAAATTTGGTAAACTATGTTATATACACTCTCACTCTCTCTGCCAAGCAGCAGCCCATGTATCGGTAATCAAGGAATTAACCTGAAAAGATTAAGCTTTTGTCCTGAGCGGGCGGACGAATTGCCTCTGTTCATAACGGTGTCAGGAGACTGAATAGTAAGGTGGCGTAAGGAAGTGGGGTTTCCAGTGTAAGCCTTTGCTCTAGTATTTAGAGCTCTGGGAAAACCTAAAACGGTTTTCATATAAATCAACTTGACGTTAATACTTACCGGGGTAGTACGCCGCGAGAATTAACATTTAGCTAAATTTGGATTAGCCTGCTGTTTTTTGTTGAGCGCATACTGTCTCTGCATCTTTTGTTCTCTTTGTAAAATACCTCTTTTGGTTTATTATTTTTTATTTTCTTTTTGTCCTTTTATAATGACATGCCTTAAGCAGCCAGGTAATGTCACCACCTAGCTTGTGTCGAAGTTAGGATAGCTATCCTTGACAAAAACTATAATCACGTCCTTGCATACGGCTGGCGCGCGGGAAATTTGAAATTACCAATCAGGATTCAGCAGGCGGGAAAAACTTTACTGTCCTGACGCCAATGTAAGTTAACAGGAAAGGCATTGAAATCAGGCATCATTTCTCGCTGGACATGGCATTAGCTTTTCACGAAAAGGGATTTACAGTCCCAAAAACCATATCGGATTGTAGAAAGTGGAAAGTATGAAACATTTTTTTGTCTCCAAGCTTCTAATTTGGCGCCAAAAATGGGTCGCCGGCGTCCGGCATGGCAACTCGCTTGTAGCTCGTCGAGTGTCGCCAGTTAGGATAATAGTTGTGTCATTTTGAACAAAATATGCTATTCTTCGTCAAATTAAACCCGGAATTCTCAAGTTAACTATTAGAAGAGGCCAAAGCAACTTTAGCATTGTCTTCTTTCTTGTTAGCTGCGAAGAAAATGGCTATTATCGTGTCGTTTCAGTAGGTCAGTTTTGACTGCCGATAGTACTGCGGGCGCAACCGCGGTATTCAAAGATTCAACTTATTAGCTGATCAACGTACAAATTTTGTTTGTTGGTTTGTTTGTTTGTTTTGGAGCTACTTTTGAGCAAATTTCTTTACAAAAAGCAACTTTTGACATTTTTTGAGCAACTTTTGAGCAACGTTTTGCGAAATTGCGGGCTTTCTGGGGCAACTTGTGGAAAGCCCTACCCAGGGGTACTTCCAGAAAAATTGGGGGCGGGGGTGCGGCCCGTTTCCCAAAACTCCTACCCTATTTATGACCAAAATCTGCGATTTTCCCTACCCTATTTATGACCTGACCAAAAATTTGATTCCCTATTTGTGACCTAACCCTCAAATCAATACCCTGTATCAGACCTGCCTAATAATTAGTTTCCTAGTTTAGACCAATGTTAAATTGCCCTAAACATAATTTATGAAGGTCTTTTGTTAATGGTCCTATCGATAATGATGAAAAAGTAGCTTCTTCTCAAAAAAGAAAACCCGTATCAAGACTAGAGTGCAAAAATTGTACCCTATTTATGACCAAAAGGGCTAAAAAACCATACCCTTAGGGGCCGCGTACCTCCCCGTGGGTTGCAACCCAGTTAATTATCCAGATATTCCCAGCTGTAAAAGCACAATTTACCCAGTTTAGACATCTACTTAGCCAAGATTTTGGAGCGTTTTTCTCCCATCTCCAAAGCAAATAATTGTTTTATCGACTAATTGCGGTTCATCTGATGAATAAAAGGCAACTGGAGTACCGCAATTAGGAATGCATGACATATGGTTTTAAGCACAAATTAAAGACAGATATTATTTTTGAGTTACAGCACAAAGAAAAAATAACAAAGTAAATTTATAATCCTGTAAATTAAAAAAACATCTTTTCTTGGGAATCAACTTTGAAGGAAACTACTTGACGAAAGAATGCCTCTTACACTATTTTTACTATTTAACTGCAATCCTGGCTAAAAGGTCCTTGGGCCGCATGACCGGCAAAATACCAATTAATGACGTATAATCTTAAAAGTACGAGGTCGTTTTCTAATTTTTCAATCCCCCTCCACCCCCTTCTTTCCCGGAGTCTCGGTCTCTCGGACCCGCGTTGAAACATTGTGTTGCGCGCATGAGGGAGGGGAAGGTGAGGTAAAGGCAATTTCTTACCAAACGATAAAGTGCCCCTACACGTTTGGCCTGGAGTATGCCAGTCTTTTAGCAAGTCTATACTGGCCTTATAAAATCTGTCTGCATGCCACCTTAAAGTCATTAAACATTCTCTTAATTGCCCTCCAGAAGCTTGGCATTCTGAAAGTGTATAATACTGGATTGAGGGCAGAATTAAAAAGGCCAAGAAACATAAGGCCTCGGCAGATGTGCTCGTCGATTTTAGGTTCACGATACTTTATAGTTTCAACGACAACAGAGGGAAGCCAGCATAATGCAAACGTGCCATAAAATAGAAAGATGGCCTTGGCAACTTGTTGTTCCCTTTTGCGAGCTGTTATGTATGCCTGCCCAGGCTGAACCAGTGCTGCTTGAGCTCCTTGTGCGAGAAGTGACTTGTTGAACTTTCGGATGATTATAAACATGCGGATATACAAGCCGAGCATGATTAACAGCAAGAAAACACCCATACCGGCAAATAGAAACAAAGTATACTCCCGCTGATCCCGAAAGGGAATTATCAACGAGCTTATCACTAATGCCGTCAACCATATCAGAAAAATGGAGATCTTCACGGCTTTACCGCTAAAAAGCGCTTCTCTCTGCAAAGGTCTCTCTAAGACAATGTATCTCTCGATTGTGAGAGACAACACTGTGAGATTGGAGGCTTCAACTGCCAAGACGAGAATCACATTAACTGCGATGGAATAGTTCGATTTGTTTGAACCATTTTCTTTCACCCAGTACTGAAGGGCCCAAATAGGCTCAACTACAAGGCCCATTATCAGGTCAGCTACTGCAAGGTTCACCAGAAGGTAATTGGCAGTCGTCCGTAGTTCTCTAAATGGGTCCTTGTACAAAGCTACAATCACCAGAAGATTCCCTGCCGTAGTTATTACGGCAAGCGCGATAGCAATGGCCATTTCATGAGTCATGACTTTCTCGGGCAAAAACGGATGGCTTTCAGGGTGTGCTGTCACGGTCATCTTGCTAACGATAATCAGTGCAAGCAATTATGCTAGAACGTCAGCTGCAGAACTGCAACAAAATGTCAGAAATATATTAGGTGGAGCCATCACTTTGGTTACGGGGAGGAAGGTGTGTAATATGATACTGTTGTTTTTGAGGGAAGCAACAGATTTATTTTATTTTATTTTTTGAGTGCTTTTTTTTAGTAGCGTATAAATACGCAAAAGAATCAAAATATATCAGTATCTGTTTTATAAAACAGAAACCAAACAGAAAAAGAGAGCACCATTTATTTATTATTGTTTTTTTTATATATAAGCTTATTTTAACGACGTGCGGTACGGATCAAGTTTCGTGACCTTTCATAATAAATGAGCGGTTCCGGACGGAAAGTGCGAAGTCAGCAAGCTTCACTTAACGGCGGCAATAAGGCTAATAACTATAACGCTGCATAATAATAAATAGGTGAACGACATAAAGATCGTGTTCATGAAAAATAATGACTTGGATATTCCCAAGCAAGATATTCATAAGCAAACTTATATTGCTATTCAAATGCGTGTTGTTGCCCATCGTTGAGAATGCAAAAGTTTATAATTAATAATAAACAATTCCTCTAGAAGATAAGGCTAATTTAATAAGCGATACATTCGGTTGACCTAGTAATATTTCCATACCATAGACGAGAAAGTCCATTTTAAACTTGTCCGCAGTGTTCCGTAGCGCGATTTGTTTTACATATATCCAGGAAGACCTTTGATTGGCCGAATTAATACTAGAGACGAATTATCCGTCAGAGACGAAAAATCCGCCTGAGACGGATAATTCGTCTAAGTATAAATTCAGTACGAAGACGAATTATGGAGCAAATTTCGTCTGAGACTGATTCGTCTGTTAGCACGTCTTCAAGACGTGCTAACAGACGGATGAATCGTCTTAGACGGATGATCCGTCTCTAAATTTATATCCAGACGGAAACGTAGACGGGTTTTTGACGAAGTCTCCACATGAGCGGGACTGGTTTCTATATTTTCGCAGGGTTTCCTGGGATGCCTATTTCAGGATGGCGTACAGTAAGGCAACTGCTTCGTCGAAAAAGAACTGAAAACAAAGTTGACTTGCACAGATTAAGACACGGACGTCTTCGCGGAGGTTATCTTTGATCCACAATACAGAGGAAGTGATTACACCGTTGGGTGGGCTACAGTACCGGAACGTTTGGCACTGAAGAAGGCTCGGACATGCGCTTCACAGAGGATGTTCGTCTCTGATATGCCGCCATGTCTAATCCTCTTCTTCGCCATTTGTTTGTCAGCAACGCTACGAGTGCCGCCATGTTGTCTTTGATCTCTCGCTAAGCTTCCACTCGGCTCAACACCAAAACATCCGTCGTGTAACACGCGTAACGCGTAACGTATATGTCGACAAAATATTCGTCAAAATTCGTCTTCAGATTTATAGTTAGACGACCTATCCGTCTGACGGATAATCCGTCTGGACGGATAATTGGTCTCTAGTATAAATTCGGCCAATCAGACCTTCTTGGAACCCGAAGGACGATATCATTGCTCCTAATTCATTATCGCCCTCGTAACTATCGATCGAGTCCACTTGATGCTTATTCCTTACCATTTCGGACTCTCTAAAGTTGTGTTTTGGTTCTAAGTACAGAATTTTGCAGTCTAGTAGAAAACTACGACACACGACGTCGTGTTTGTTTGGATACCACGATCACAAAATAACTTTCTAATTAACAATTAGATTATGAGCTCGAGATTTCTATGAGGTGATAGTTGATGATGCCGGAGGCCGAATCAACTATCGCCTCGTAGAAACCTTTTCGATCAGGCATTAGCATTTCGTTTATTTGGAGTACCTTTCGCGATATTCCAACGTTAATAGTCCTCCATCCTACGGACTTCGCATTAAAAATGTGGTTTTGTATACACCGTTCACCAGTCGGGGATTAACTAGCCTTAGTTTGGCAGTGGAAGTTGCCTTTGTGGAGAGGTGGCCGTTATAGAGAGATTAAAATAGGAATGAATGTATGGAGCCGGTCTGCCGGGATGAAAAAACGGCCATTGTAGAGAGGTGGCCGTTAGTGGAGGTTCGATTTTATGTATTTATCGATATATCGTTCGCCACACGTTTCGCTAAAATGGAGTAGCGTTGCGTGACGGCTCGCAAATAAATTTTCAAAACGCCACCGTCAGATTTCGTATTACAGTTCAGGACATATTTTTATAGCTTCCCGCCGAACCTAGACTCGATTTCCACCGGGCTCCTTTCCCGAACAGCGGCTGGTATTAAAATCGAGCCACGAACAACCCTACATTTGCCTCAGACTAGCCCTTGTTGCTCGTCATGCTTCTGACTCGTCACGCCATGTTTCCTGGAAAGACACTGTGACGATGTTTCGTGGGAGAAAACAAGCGGCTAGTACGTAGTCTGGCAATGAAACTCACGTCATGGAATTCTTGCCGTAGTTTACTTTTAAGCGATGTAACGTTGGATTGATGGAGAGATTTAAATCTCAGTTGCAATGCATGTCTGTCTCATACGTCCATCTTCGCTTGTACACGCTTTCTCCGTTCAATGATGTTAAAACGCAAGGAGTACAAACCAATTATAAGACCGGCGATGTCTCAGTTATTCTATCAGACAGCTATATTGACATTACGTTAAGTTTACAGCGACCCGACGTTTTCTTTACGGCGACGTTTGCTTATTTTAATAAGCAAACATCGCTGTAAAACTATATAAACTCGCTTAAAATTATGGTAAAGATGAATATCAGGAAGATAACATACTAAAACAAACTTGCCTGTACAATAAGGCATAACCATGCTTGAATCTTCCAAAGTAACTAACCTGTGTTGCAGACGTAAACGGGGAAGGAGTAAGGGAGGCGAAAACGCAATGCGTTCTTCCTCTCTCCCAGTCCCCGTCCGTTTATCCATGCTCGACCACCCTCCCCCTACTCGTCTCCCACGTTTTACGTTCGGTACTCATCAAAGATCTACGAAGAGCTACAAAGCTAGGAACAAAAAACACTCCAAGCAGTGCAGGCCACATTCCCACATTATAAGCTTCGTACACTTAGTAGTTAGCGTAATTTTTGTCAACTGCGTGCCACTCGCTCGATTTTCGAGCGATGACACCACTCGAGTTCAAAAGGATTGCGTGACTTACGTTTGTCACGATCGCGTGATGAGCCCAAAAAGTGTCTGCGGACCGGCAAGTAAACACATTAATTTGCTTGAATGCGGCAATGTGTTTAGAAAAGAAAACTTGTTTTTATAACGGGTTGAATTAACACTTCATTTGTGGTGTAAATCGACAAAAGACCTTTAGTGTGCTGCAAATTCAGTTCGTAAGACTTCCCAAACCGGAAGTTATTCAAACATATAGCTAGTTTTCACATGACGTCACTAAAATGAGAATCATACTAGGGCCGCGAAGCGGCCTGAAGTTATAATTCAAATTATATGAACAGATGAAGTGAGAAATATATGAGACAACAAATGGTAGGAAATTCCCAGTTAGTGCTTCAAACCACTTTTTAACGCCATCAGAAGGGCGAACCCCCCTAAAGAAACAATAAAAGGGGCCTGGGTATACCCACAAGGCCCTGGGACCTAGACCTCGTGGTCCGGTGATGCTTCGGTGGCTTTTTGACGCCATGGAATAGACAGGCAAAAGAGAGACTCCATAGGAGGGAGGGA